ACGTCACTCTTGTTTCTTCAGTATTCTGTTATTGAAAGAATTGATGTGGCTTCATGTCCCCATAAACCTTTTTTTTTTTTTTTTTTTTGAGGACGGGATGTCTTCAAGTCCTTCTGGACTCCTGGTGTCTGCCTGGACAAATCCCTGTAGCTTTCTTGGCAAAATTTAAGAAGTAGTTTGCCATTGCCTCCTCCTTAGGGCTGAGAGAAAGTGTCTGGCCCAAGGTCACCTAGCTGCCTCTGTGCCTAAGGAAGGACTAGAACTTATGGTCTCCCAGTTTTTAGCCTAACTACTACACTGGGTTCTTAAGCCTAATCCATCATTCCTTTATGGTTTTATGTTTGCAAACTTTTTTCCCCTCTAAACTGCTTTGAGAGGAAATATGGTATAAAGGTTAAATTACTTAAAGGACAATATGAATTTCTAATGAAAAAAAATGGATTCCCTGCATTTATTTTAGAGTAAACTTCACATACATGGTGGTTTTTAAAAATCTTCAATGATAAATGGTTCTTTTTTATGGCTTTTTTTTTTTTTTTTTGTAAAAGGTAAAAGAAGCCTTGAGAAGCTCAGTGTTAAGTTGTCCATTGAGTTTGCAGATACACCCATGAACTTTTCCTGGCAATAATATACAGATGGTTTGCCTTTACCTTCATTTAATATTTTCTAACTTCCTGGACTTACCTACAGACGTGGAATTCCTTTGCAATCTCCCATCTAAGAACTATTCTTGTCTGATCAAGTTTAGCTTTGAAACTCAGACAAGATTGTTACTGTTATTCAAAAAAAAAAATTTGCCTTGAATTTCTTCCAAACAATTCCATTCTTTTTATTATGCTGATAAATTTGGCAAACATATATTACTAGTTAATTTACTAGCATATTTAATTTGGGTTGCTACAAGAATGCAAAAATTCAGTTTATTTCAATAAATATATCGGAAAGCTTTTTTTTTTAATTTGAAGAATCTTAGAGAATTTGTCAAAATTTAAATAATTAAAACATATAGTAATTTCTATCTCACACTGATAAATTTAGTAAGCCTCTTGGGAGATCCTGGTTAGTTACACGGTGTAATAAATATGTCTGTACGTGATGTTAGGAAGGGCTCCATTTCTCTGAATTTTGGTTCAAGGAGGTGAGTCTGGATTTGCATCCCTTTTAGCTTCCACTTGTATTATTACAATCCCCATCTGATTATGGATGCTTGATAAACAAAAGCTATGAAAAAGATTGCACTGATTAGAAATTAGAGCCAAAACAAGATTGGATGGCCGATTGCATCTCATTTTTTTTCTTTAATATTAGGGTTCAGACCACAAAATATAAAGGGTTGACATTATCTTCTTCCCTCCCAATGAAAATACTGTTCTGATGAGAGAGGTTTATAATGGCAGGCATGAAGAGCAGGGTGCTGGGAATTTTTCATTATGATTGTAACGTGGGCAAAGCCTGTGATACGAATCCTCCCCACATATTGTGATCCTGTTAATGTTGTTTAAAAAATGAAGAAAAATACAGGTACATCAAACGCAAAAGATTTAGATTTGCTACCAGATTTCTGTTGCTTCACGTGCCTCCCACATTCTAATTTTTAGAGTTCTCTTGCATTTAATTGCACTCCTTTATGATCAATCCAAGATTTTATATTTTTGTTTAGAATGGCAAAAGAAATATCTCTGTCTTGTACCATAAGGTTCAGGTGGGAATACAGTTTCAAACAAAGCTAAGCAGGGTCATGCCTAACTAGTACTTAAATGGGAGAGTTCCAGGGCAGACCACATCTGAAGGTTAAACGGTCAAGTTTAAAAAACAGCCTGGAAAAATGCATTGTCAATCCACTCTCATGTGGTTACTAAAGAAAATTACATTGATTAGGCCATGTCAATCAAACTCCTCTCCAGAGCCCCAAGTGGTAAACTAGCTCATCCCCCAATTTGTTATGGGGAAGACTCAACACAGACAGGAATTCAGCCCGGTGAATTTAGAAGGAAAGAGAGCAGGCCACTTTTCAACATAAAATGTATAGATCGCCTCCATAATGTTCAACTGACTGACTTTTCAACATAATATTTATAGATTGCCTCCATAATGTTCAACTCGCACTGTGTTCTAGCTAAGAAAAGGTCAGACTTCTGAACTTTACACTCAATTTGCATTAAATTTCACCATCCTGGTGCTTAGTTATCTTGGTTAGAAACATCCTAGAACTATTGTGACTCATTTGAGCTTTACTGTCTGAGATAACCATTCATTCACCTATTGCAAACTATGACCATAAAAGTCTTCCCTGTCCTTTGGTCAAAGGTAGCAACTGAGGTTATTCAGTGACGTCTTCCAGTTTAATCACTTACCGCTCTTTCAGAACTATAAATAGTGCTTGAAATGGTCAAAAAGCATTATATCAATATAGAACTTTTGGTAAAAAAAAATTTATAATTTCTTTTTTTTTTCCCTTGTGAGAGCTCTTACCTCTTGTTTTCTGTTGTTGTTTTTTCAAAGATTCACAAACTCAGTCAGGATAATTGGTATCTACCAGGTCACCTCACTATCATGATTGCTGAAAGCACAGACACTCAAAATTTGACGCCCAGGGCTTCCACTTGTAGCTTTGTGAATAGCTTGTGCTATTCTGTAGAGGTCAAATTATATATTTAATAATATATGAACATAGTATCACCTTTTAAAAATAAAGAAGTTTATAATTGGGTACAAATTTATCTACACTTTTTCTTTAGCTTCATCTACAATAAATAATACAATTTAATGTATATATCATTTTGATATAGTTGTATCAATCATACGCTCTTCCATATAAATTCATCCAGACTATATCTGGGTGGAAGTCTAATTTTATGAAGGAGGCAAAAAAAAAAAAAAAAACCAATCCAGTCTAAATGCTTCAGTAAATAAAATCTGTAAATAAAATAAAAATTACTGGGGATAACTGAGACTAAAAATAAGAGACTAGACTATCCTAGAGACTAGAAATAAAAAATGCAAATTTTTCATATATCTGAAAGGGTCACTTCCAGCACTTGATGAAAAGTAGATCTAGCAGTTCTATTTTACAAGTGAGATTTTGTTTGATACTCAATGAAGCATGTGACCTAGTTTTTCTCCTCTATGAAGCATGAAACTAAAATCTAATGATTTTCCCTCTGTTGATTCTGTGTGGCATCTATAAAGCTGCTTTTGTACTGTTAATTATTTTAAGAAGAAAAAATTATGTTGATGTTGCTTTTAAAAATGTCATTCTTTCTCACCTAATGAACTGATTCTTGCCAGAAGTGACCCAAAGAGGTAGCTTTTAAAAAGTATGTATCTTATTCAGCATTAACCTCTTTAGCTTATAAAATTGGTTAATCATTACTGAAGTGTATAATGAAAAAATTATTTCCTACTTTCCTTACAAGCTGCCATTCGAAAGAAAAAGATTTTTTCCCCTCTTTGTAGTGGCCAGTATCAACTGCAAAATGTTTATAAAGCTAGTCATTCATATCTTGGATCTTCTGTTCACTTCCAAAATATGAGACTTTCTTCTGTATTAGGCATCACATTGCATTGGTCTAGAAAGGGCTGTCTAACATATAAAAGTGCCTTTTTAGAAATCTGAGAAACTTCCATGGACAATGTGGGTGGTCAAAGGATAAGTCGTTTGCCCAGGAAATTCTGTACACAATACAATCAGAGGCATGTAAATGTGGATGTAATCCCATTTAACTCTGGGATTTACATCTGTGTAAATGCCTGTCGGTGTGTATTGCATCTCCTGTCCAGCTTTTCTGTTCATTCTTGCTTGGGCAGAGACAAAAGAGGGCAGGGTGGCTTTAACAGTTGAGTAGAGAATGGAATTTCTGCAAGTCATGCAAACTACACTTGATGGATTTCCTTTTTTCTTCCCAACTAATAATGCACAAGAGACCTTCCTCTTTGCATCCAGCCACCAGCCTCACTCATTCTGGCTATTTCCTGCCTTCATGTATTCCCCCTTCTTCCTAAGGCTGCTGTCATAAACACACTTATCTGAGAAATGGTCCCATTCAACACAATAAACTTAGTTCTATTTGGACTTGACTGGAGGGTTCTCAATATCCATCTCAGTCCATCCCACCCCTCTCTTTTACAGATTTTTGTAATCTGCGCACAAACACACACATACACAGAGAGAGAGAGAGAGAGAGAGAGAGAGAGAGAGGGAGGGAGGGAGGGAGAGGACCTTTAAACCAGACATGTCAAACACAAGGCCCGGGGGCCGGATGCGGCCCGCGAAGTGGTTTCATGTGGCCCACGAAGCCATCCTGGAAACAGTAAGGGAATGGCCCCCGCTGCCTTGGCCCTGGCCCAGGCCAGCTGGGAGCCAATGTACAATTTTGTGGTGGCCATCTATGCTGAAACGCATTCAGTCTTAGCTCCACAAGGCTGTCTGGAAACAGCGAGGAACCAGCCCCTGCTGTGTCGGCCCCGCCCCCTGGGTGCATACTGGGGAGGTGTCACCCTTTGTGAGGAATGAAGAAATGGACCATGCCTTGGCGCTTGCCCCGGTCCCACCCCCTTCTGCCAGAGACCCTCAGATCTGTCCCACTCCTGTTCAGGCCCCCACAGGTCCCCTTGATGCGAATGATGTAGAACTGGCCATGCCCACCCAGTAGGCCACACCCACTCCATTTGCGCCCACCCAGTAGGCTGCACGCACCCGCCCAGCCCCCCGAGGGCAACCACAATGCTGATGCGGCCCTCAATGAAATTGAGTTTGACACCCCTGCTTTAAACTGTGTGTAGTCCTACAGGGAAGGCTAAGGAAAGGAAGAGCATTACAATGGCTTTTTCCTGAAAGGATTTCTATATTTCTGGATGCTAGTAGCATGGTTTGTCTGTTACATTACCATCTTTCTTTTACCTCTCTACTTTTCTTGGGTTAACTTCCTTTGATGGACAAAAGTGGAAAATAAATACATGCAAGGTTTCACTTCAGTCTGTTTTTTGTCCCCTGTTGCCAGGTCAAAACCGAAATCAGCGTAGAAAGCAAACACCAGACTCTCCAAGGCCTGGCCTTCCCTTTGCAGCCAGATGCACAACAGGCCATTCAGCTACTAAAGCAGAGGAAAATCAATTACATCCAGCTGGTAAGGGTTTCTTGGGGGGGGGGGGGGCTTTCAGTTTAATTGTCCCAAGTTTTGCTCATTTCTGTGCATGCTCTGCTTGCACACATTGCACTGTTAGAGTTTCCACTTCATTGTTATTTTGGTTTTCTCTTGCCTTTGTTTCAACAGAAGCTGAACCTGGAACAGGAGACCATAGAGCTGGTCCACACAAAGGCTACAGAAATTGTTGATCTGCCTAGAAGAATTCCTCAGGATTCTGCTCGCTACCACTTCTTTCTGTATAAACACTCTCATGAGGGAGATTATCTGGAGTCAGTAGGTAAGCTGTGACCACATCTATAGCTGAGGAAAGGTTTCACTCTGCTCTTCGGACATGGAGTGGGTATTTTCGTTATCCTCTAGAATGGTGTTGCCATCTGGGGAGAGAGTTTAAAACCTCTCTGGTGGATTCCTTTTCCAAGCACCATCAGTGATTACAATAGGTGAATCTCCTGGCACCCCCATTCTGGTGCCTCTCTACCTAAGAGTGATCTCTTCTGCCCTGCTCTAGAAAAACTCAAAAGAAGGAGTAAAAACTTTCTACACACAGCCCAGAAATGCAGTGCAAAACTAAAGAACTAAAGAACTTCATCTCAAAGGTGCTTTTTTTTTCTTCAAAAGACAACTGGACTATGGTTTTTTTTTTTTCCTTTGGGGAAGTAATCATTTCAAAATGTCTTCTTCCTCAAGGAAAAAACATAATCCAGTTGCCTTTTGAAAAAAGCACCATTGAGGCACCCATGACCTGGATGACTGAGATTCTCCATAGACATCTAAACAACTTCATGCCAGTCCTAAAACAAAAGAGAGACTTGGATTCACAGCCCAGCACATAGGAAAAGTTTTAATGAAAATATTTGTTTCTAAAATCAATGCCCAATTCATGGGCAATATATTTTAGATATAATAAGAATTGGTATCATTTCATCTATGCAATATATGAACAGTATACAAATACAACTGTGTTTATTTGTTTTATCGCATGCTATTACGGCATACACATGGTCATTATTTCAACATAGGAATTAATTTTACAGGGGCCCAAGAATACCTGATCTTTTTTTTCTCTTTCTCCTAGTGTTTATCTACTCCATGCCTGGTTACAAATGTAGCATCAAAGAGCGTATGCTGTATTCCAGCTGCAAGAGCCGATTGCTTGACTCCATAGAGCAAGATTTCTGCCTAGAAATTGCAAAGAAGGTAAGTCTTTTCCCTCTGGATTCATAAGCATCTTGAAGAAAAACAAATTCTCTTCCAGCTAGCTAGACTTTTAGAGTTTCAAACAGTATGAAAGAGGGTGATGTGGGGATCTGAAGATTGATTATGAGAAAATTACTCAGAAGCCACCAGGTGGATTGTTGGAAGGACATGCTAGAGACAGAAAACAGGCACGCCAACAGCATGGACAACATGAAAAGTAAGAAAAGACTTTAATGAACTCATCTCTAATGAGAAAAAGAAATGTTCATGTCCAGAAAATAAAACCAAAACAAGTTTAGAAATGGCCCTGTGAAGTAGTGGAGTGGACCGGAGTGGAAGCTGGAAAGCTATGGGGGAAGAGAAAAGGTTAGGGTTGTCCTAACAGGCAGGACAAGAAGCAGCGGATGGAAACTAACCAAAGAGAGACGCAACCTAGAATTAGGGAGAAATTTTTCTGAGAATTAGAACAATTAACCAGTGGAACAACCTGCCTGCAGCAGCGGTGATTGCTCCAACACTGGAAGTTTTTAAGAAGAAACTGGACAGCCATTTGCCTGAAATGGTATTTCCTGCCTGAGCAGGGGGTTGGACTAGATGACCTCCAAGGTCCCTTCCAACATCATCATCATCATTATTATTATGGATCATCGCACAGTCAGCCAGATGTTCAGACTGGATTTGGCATTTTGTCTACCTATCGAGTCCTTATCCAGGACCTGGGATAGGCAGATGTAGATGTTTGATGTTATTGCAGATATTGTCGCAGGATGGAAGCAGTTCCTAGTAAGGCCACCTTTTGCAATTGACTAATGGCGAAGTTGTCAATGCCAATGGTGTTCAAGTGTTGCTCCAGTGGTTTTGGGATTGCACCCAAGGAGCCTATCACTATTGGTACTATCCTTGCTTGTTTTTGCCACAGTCTTTCTATTTCTATTTGTAGGTCTTTGTATTTTGTTATCTTCTCCAGTTCATTCTCGTCTATTCTGCTGTCTCCAGGCACTGCCATGTCCACTATCCAGACTTTTTTGTCTTTCTTATCGACAATTGTTAAGTCCGGGGTGTTACGTTGCAGGTGCTTGTCTGTTTGAATTCTGAACTCCCTGAGCAGTTTAACTTTATCATTTTCTATGACTACTACTACTACTACTACTACTACTACTACTACTACTACTACTACTACTTATTATTATTATTATTATTATTATTATTATTATTATTATTATTATTACTATTATTATTTAATGGAATTCCATTACTGAGAAGAAAATCCCAATCTTGGTTGGGTTTCAGGTTCTCAGTGGCCAGATCTAAGCCTACTTTTCCTTTCTTTTGTGTATCAGATTGAAATTGATGATGGAGCGGAGTTGACCGCCGAGTTCCTGTACGATGAGGTCCATCCCAAGCAGCATGCCTTCAAGCAGGCTTTTGCCAAGCCAAAGGGTCCTGTGGGCAAAAGGGGACAGAAGCGACTTATCAAAGGACCAGGCGAGAATGGAGAAGACAGTTAAACCCGGCGGACGGGTCAGCAAAGAGCTGTGAATGTCTCCCAATCTCCAGCATTGCAGCTCCAAGGAAATCCACTTCTCTGCATTTGAGCCTGTCCACTGAACTCCAAAGCCTTTTTCCTACTTCTTTTCTCAAAGTCGTGTCCATCGGTTTCATTAACAGGGTGGGAGGGTTGGAATCGGGGGACAGAGAGGAAGAAGACGGCGTGCTCTTTTTTCTTTCCTTTTGCTCCGTGGTGATATAAATCGAGGGGGAAGGGGTACCCTAGAGCTTTTTGGTCTTTTTTTTTTAAATATTTCTTACAGCAGATGCTCCTGTTATTGCTTCATCTTGTGGCCTGTTTTACTTGGAACCTGCACCACTCAAAGAGCTTTGTATGCCTCTCCTCTGAGAGAGTTATAAACTTCTATCTTGGCTGCTGTGACCCCATCAAGGAGAGGCAGCGTTTGTATGATAACAATAACTTAATGGCACTCCATCCTGTTAATGCCATCCCCTTGCCAAGGGAGTCCGTTTCTCTAGTATTTGATGTAGCGGTCAGTTGCCTACTAGTTTAGGCAAAGAGCGGTATGTTCCAGGGATTGTTTTTGAAGCAGGGTGGAGTTTGAGGGGATGGGGGAAGTGTTAAAAATTAGATTTCCTCCAAAATAGAGGTAGGGAAACCCAAGCTACTGAAAAAGTAAAACTCTTGTTTTGTTCAAGAGTCCTAATAATCCCATTCTAGGCCTTACTGTTTGTGGAAGAAGTATCGATCACAAATCCAATGACGGGTTGGATTTCTCTTAAAAGATGTTCTGCTTCCTTTCTGATTTGTAGAAAGCCAATTACACAGCCTTTCCTTCTTCCCTGCCTTGTGTCTTGATGACTCATTGTGTGATATTACAGCCTAGGAGTGGACATGGACAGTTAGGAACTGGGAGCATAATTGTTATTCTGACCTTATTGGCAGCATTTCCATTTAACTACATCAAGATGGCAAGAATCATCTCACGGGTAGCTCTCATATGTTTTCCCAGGCCAAGCTTTCCATATGTGCTAGCTCGCAGCCTAATACAGCATTACTAAGACAATAGATTCCTTCATATCATCTCTCTCTCTCTCTCTCTCTTTCTCTTTCTCTCTCTCTCTCTCTCTTTGGGGGGGGGGTCCTTGGCCCTCTCATATTTACTCAACTGTTTGTCCTCATCCTAGATCAGGAGTAGGCAACCTTGGCTCTTTTATGACTCGTGGACTTCAATTGTATGCCTTGAAGTCCACAAGTCATAAAAGAGCCAAGGTTGCCTACCCTTGTCCTACCTAGATCATGATGCCCAACCATTGCACCCCCTTGTCATAGATCTGATAGAGCTTTGCCAAGCCAAAGGAACATTAGCACTTTCATTGGTCACTGAATACTGATGAGCTCTGTTTTTCACAGAATGTACTTTGGCCAGAGGACCGTTCATTCCATGTGTTAAATACTGTCTGCCAAGACTAATTGTTTTAGATCCATGAGAACCAGGTGGAAGGAAAGGATAGCTCATGGCATGAAATTATTATCCATGTACATGATAGATGGGCATTTTAACTACCAAGGGGTTTGGGAAGAGCCTTGATGATCAGCTTGGAAAGTCTAAACGAGAAGCAGACAGTGACCCACTCACAAAAAGCTCAAGCCACAATTGGGAGCTTCTGAAAAATCATGGTCTGCTTTTATATCTCACGCAAGCAAACACTTCCCTCTGAAATTACAAGCCATGTTTTACAGAGCCAACTGTAGGGTATTAGTCTGGGGGCCTTGAGTTGAGCAGCATTTGCATAAGAGCAAGCTGGATGTGCTCTAGCTCACTCTTTCCCCCATGGGACTGATCTGCAATTCAAGAAAGAAAGGGTGGGCTTTGCCAAATTCCGAATATTCTGCATGAAAAAAATAGAATCACAGATTCTTAAAACAGGATGAGGCCATTTAGACATTCAGATCCAATCCCCTACTCACTACAGGTATCCAGATGAAAATGTCTGTGATGGAGCTGGTGGTATGTGCCATCCTTTCGTGGATGAGGAAAAGTCTTAATGTTAATTTTTCCTGATTTTTTTTTAAACTGTTCATCTTTTGCATCTTAAGTTTATTGGGAGTCATTGGAGCAGATGTCTTTATAATTGCAGTCTCTGTAGTGTTTAGAAATAAACAGATCTTGCATTTAATATATAATTCTAAGACGATCATTAAATTCAAAGCTTGTCCTAAAGCATGTTCAGACAGCAAGATTCTGCTTTAAGTAGGCACGATGCAGGGATCAGCAACTGAAATACAAAATTTCAGCATAACACTGGTCAGTGCTATGATTTTATTTTTTTAAAAAAATGGGTGGTTCTTTGGACATTTTGAAGGCTCTACGTTGCTGATCTTTGGCACAATGATTTCTTTAAAAACTTTATTGTGACCAAATCTCAATCAGTTCAACTAAATCTAGAGATTATAATATTCTGTAATATTTGGATTTGGACCTCTGCATTTTCTGCATCATATATGCAGAGATAGCTTTGCTACTTCCATTCTATGTTTTTGTTGAGAGTGCTACACTCTTTTAATATGAGTTATTATTTTGCCTTTTCCCCCCACCTAGGCAAGCTTTATATTTTAGGTTAAGTTTGTCCTGTATGTTTTGTTCCATGTATTGCATTCTCCCCACCAATAAGAGGCAGAATTTTTTTGGTCCCTATTATATTTTGATGCAGAAGAACAAATATTTGCCATTCCAAAACTGATAACAGCAGTTACTCTGATCCTGAGCTCACATATCCTTGGGTTCATGATGAGATATTAAGGTATATTTAAGCATCCTGGGATGACCACTGTTGGCATTTTCCTTGTTTTCACTATTTGCATGAATCCATGTGATCCAAGCAAATGTGGCAGAAAAGTAAGCAAGCACTGCCTTCGTTTTAGTTTTACATCTTTTACTTCATCAAATTAGTCTGAAATTATTCCTTTGTGGTATTAATGCCAGGTATCACCATGTAACAATAGTGAATCAATCCGTGTTCTCAAATGCACGAGCAGTGGTAAATGAGAACTTCCGTGAAGTAAAAAAAGGTGATCAGCCTGCTTCTCAAGCTGACCCTTCACAACCCACCTTTTTTCCCATCACAGTGCAACACTGAGAGTCACTCAGCCTTGCAAAGAGCTGCCTCTCAGCTGTCCATCTGATCTTAGTAGCTGCTGCCACATTATCCATATTCATATTGTGTTTGTGGCTGGTGAACCCTTTTTCTTATTTGTTGACTGGAAGAGCAACAAAAACTCAGTTATGCAGTGTGCAAATCATACAGATCTGTCGACTCTATCAATACCGACTCCCCCCACCTACCCTATTTTCTGATCCAAGCTAACAAATTCCAGGACTATTCCAGGATAGGGAGACTTAACACTCAACTAGACTCCAGAACTTTGTTTTCTTACAAACTTACCATCAACACACTTGCCAAGTAGCAAAAAAGTTCCACAAAAATGTAGCAATGACTCCCTATCCTGGAATAGTCTCTGAACTTGTTAGCTTGGATCAGAATGTATCTTGCTATTTATATCCAGGATGCATACTTAATCAGAACATTTATTAGCTCTAATACTCCAAAATGTTGAGTGATTGCAAGAACATCTCATTATAGAAATAAAGTTTTATAGGAGTCCCAAAATAATTTTTCAAGAATTGTATGTTTATAGCGAGACCGTGCTAATTAGCTCTTAAGTACTATATTCCTGGACACAATGGAAATGACAGTAGTTTTACACTGACATCTCTAGCACACTAAAATAATGTCTAATTGACTACATGATTAACACTGCAAGTAGTTTTCATTGTCCATTGCATTTAACTTGCTGCAGATGAAAAGCAAGCTAGGAGTGATTGTTTCTTTTTTCATGCTAGTAACTTATCAAAACTTCCATAAGAATCAAGGTTTGGAGTTTGGGAGATGCACATTCCTGACTGAGCTATATGATGATGTAAATTTGGAAATTATGGGGGAGGCACGGCATACTGTTTTGAATGCTGTATTTTCTAAAAATTAAAGTATTTTTAAAGCAACCCGTTTTGAGTATTTCTTTAGTAGACTGAGATATCTGTTGATACAATTGGCCATTCCCTATGCTGTGGTAAATTTTATGTCTCATGAACTCATGGAAACTATTGCTACAAAGTGGTTGAATTTAACTTGTGAGGCCAGATGGTTTGATGTTCATCATGTAGTTTCAAATGACATCATGTTTGCAGATCTGCAATAAACCCAGATTTTCCTGTGTCTTGTGCACTATATATATTACTGAGAGGCATTTCCAGGTGTTGATATGGGAGCCTCTCAAGCATTTTTCCTTTGTTTTTGCCAAAATACTCCTGAAATCAAACCTGTAAACATAATGTCGATTCTTAAATATCTAGCAGGGAGAGTTTATTGCTGCCATTCTTAGTGTGCACAGACTAAAGACAAAGTTTATACAAAATAACAGACTTGGAAGGGACCTTGGAGATTTGCTAGTCCATGGGTAGGCAACCCAAAACACTCAAAGAGCCACTTGGACCCGTCAGGTTTTAAAAGGTAGGTGCTCGGGGATACGCTTTTTATAAGATGTTAGTAGCCTGCATCTGGCTTCTAGAACATGTCAACTCTCAAAGAGTTTAATAACCGAAAGCTCGGTTATTAAACTCTTTTATTATTTCTCTTGGTGATCGACTTGTTTTTGGACTTTATTATGAACGTACCCAAGAGTCGAGTTTTTGGTCTTATATCTAATCAATATATATACACGTATACACACACACATACACATCTCATAAAGGTAAAAAAGGATATATGCAGTGTTATCTTCATTTTAGATATCAAAAGGGTCTCTGTGTTTCTCCCTCCCTCTCCCTCTTTCTTTCTGCCCTTGGTCTGCCAGTCCTCTTCCCCCACTCACTTACTCTCTTTCCTCTCTCCTTCCCTCTCTCTTTCTCCTCCCCCCCCTCTCTCTCTCCATCTTCTGCTCACCTGGCAAGCTGGCTTCAAGCTGTTCTCCAACAAGCTCAGAGGTAGGCAACCTCAGCTCTTTTATGACTCATGGACTTCAATTCCCAGAATTCCTGAGTCAGCATAGCTGGGCTAGCTAGCTCTCTCCTGCCCTTCCTGCTTCCTGCAGAGACACAGCAAAGGGAGGAGCCACGCCCAAAAAGATTTTCAGCTTGTCAGAGAACACAATGAGTCCACCCTCTTTTACACAAACACACAAGTGCCTCTCTCTGTCTCTCTCTGCAAATGGCAGAGGAGGCCTGGAGCCACAAGGGAAGTCTCAAAGAGCTGCATGCAGCTCTGGAGCCGCAGGTTGCCGACCTGTGCGCTAGTCCAACCCCGTTCAAGCAAGAGCCCCTATACCACGGGTGCCAAACTCACTGCGTCATGATGTATCATGACTTTTCACATTGCCAGAGCTGGGGTGGGCGCAGGCTCCGCATAATGCAACCGGTCCATGGGCTGGCAGTTTGACACCCCTGTCCTATACCATTCTGGATAAATGGCTCTCTTCTTAAAAACCTCCAGTGAGGGAGTACCTACAACTTCTGAAGGCAAACCGTTTCACTGAATAATTGTTCTCATCAGGAATTTTCTCAGTTCTTTGTTGGATCCCTCCTCAATAAATTTCTATCCATTGCTTCTTATTGTGTTTCAGATGCTTTGGAGAGTAGGTTGATGCCCTCTCCTCTGGGACAGCCCCTCAAATATCAGAAGACTGATGTCATGTCCCCCCTAGTCCTTCATTATTCTAGGCATAGCCAGTTCCTGCAATTGTTCATCATGTTTCAGCCTCCAGTCCTCTAATCATCGTTGTTGCTTTTCTCCACACTCTTTCTGGGTCTCAGACCTTTCTTTGTATCATGGTGAACGAAGCTGTACACAATATTCCAAATGCTGCCTTACCAAAGCAGTATAAAGCGGTAGTCACACTTCTCTTGACCTTGATACTATCTCTTTGAGGTGTTAATAACGTGTTCAGTTACTCAGTTTCATTTGAGTGTAACTTACAAATATAATTCAAGTACAGGTTTAAAAATGTCTTGTGTGCCAAGAAAGATGTCTAATCTGCAGCTGAAACTGAAGGCAGCATGGTATGTTTATGCTGAATTCCCCAGCTTTGTAGGCTACCCTTTTAAAGCATGGCATTATCTGGTTCTAAACACTAAAGAAACATTCTGATCCATTAATTTCTTCTTTCTGTGAATCAAATGTCATCACAACTCAATTTATGGAACAACTCAATTTTCATAGCTGGTTCTCACAAGGTTTTGGTGTAATAAAATGAACAGGAGCCTCAAGCTAGAGCTCCCCCAAAGAATCACAAAAATACCTTTGTGAAAGCTATAGTTATGAGCTGTTTTTTGTCACAGATGCTCAATGCATTTGTGGGAGTTATCAGGTGAGAAGAATTAGATTCGATTTGTATATTTGGGCATGGACAGGAAGAATATTCCAAATGCACTGGATGGACATAGCCTGAGTTTTTTCACTGTAGTACTGTATATTTCATAATAAGTTGGTCAATTTGTAATTTAAAAGCAAATGAATGTTATTGTGCCATAGCTAAAACTGAGTATTATACCTCCAAATTAGTAGGCCACGTGGCATAATTCCCTTGCCCAGGATTGAAGTTAAGTACTTAATACATCGGATAGATCCTCACACAAAGGTTCAACTAAGGAGCTTATTCAGTAGGCATCTCTGCCATCAGATGATGAGCCTGGATCAACATGATCTACTAATAAACAATCCATCTTTATTTAACATCCAGGTTTAATAGTAAGCCAGAGCTGCTCTTCTCCAAAAGAAGAGGTTGGAATCAATTCTAATTCATGTACAAACTGCTCATTTCAGAATCCCTGTTCTGAGCAAACACAGCCAATTAATTAGGTAGGACTCTCTTATTTTAGGCATGAATATATGTGGGCCACAGCTACCATATCTTCATCAACAATCCAATAACTTAATAAACATCTTCGCTTACAGAGAGTGGCAGGGTATGGGACCTGGATTAAATTTGCAACCCGCGCACTGTGCAATAAGTAGCATTGTGCTCCCATGGCACAACTGCAACTCTACTTCTTTGCTAATACTGTACTTCAGTTCATGTTCTGTGGACACCAGATTAGCATTAAGCTAATTCCATTTCTGCAGCATTGCACACAAGGGCTCTGTTCAGGCTGTTAACAGTCACCCCAGCATGTGAGCATGGGTCCATCTGATAACCAAGAATTTGCAGCCAGTGGCTTGTTTTCTTCTATGGATACCTATCAATACCCCCACCCTCCATCTGTCTCTTTGATTAAAACAGTATTACTGTTCTCCACCCTATATGAACAAATGTATGCTTTTCTGCACTTTTTTTCATTTCCTTATTAACTTATATTTTGTACTTTACTAATGTTTGTCATGGCATCTGCCTCCAGGTCTCTTAAAGCACAGAATGGTTGTATACGAAGAAGGAGGGGAGATACCATTGTCCCAAGCCATGAGTACTTGGCTTAGAAATCCATTCCTATCCAATACGCTTTAGAGATGATAGAAAATATTTGTAGCTTGGGTTTGTTCTCCAAGCTTGCTGTTGAATCAAGATGCTTCAACCCAAGTTCCACTGATGATGTTACCTATCCTGGTGACAAAACGGGATGCCAAACAGCAAGATCAAAGAACAAACCACCACCAACACCAATACACTTTATTGTGTTTAGATTGCAAATATTGGTATGTATGACAGTAGTTATATAGGATATATAAAGTATGAATCTCTTGAGGCTGCCATAACTAGCTTGCTAACACAAATACAACTTTTCCATCAGGAAGGCGTGAGAAGTCAGAGCAAAGAAACAAACACCAACCCCAGAAAAAAAAAAAAATGTTTGGCAACCAGAGTTAAATGCTGTCTTAATGACTCCCATCTTAGCAGGAATGTGTAAGCATTAATCCCATCACCTTTACAGGAGGCAAAGAGAGGGGGTTAGGTTCTACCAAGTTGCAGAAATTGGCTGGTATGCAACAGAGGGCCTTGGTTATCTGCAAAAGCCTCCCTGCATAAAGGCCTTGCACATAAATATTGCCCTGATCACATGGAGCAGTAGCAGAGAGTGAGCAGCCCTCCCCTGTTATGTTGGTGAAATCATGCTATGACTCATTCATTGGTACAGGGTAACTGCATTATGGATTGCACATTTCAAGGCTCCAACATGATCCAAACTCTGCAGTCTGAATGTGCATTGAATTTCTCATCAGACACATTCACCTTGCAAAGCCACTCTATCCGCATTTGTCTGTATCATCTGAATGTGGTCCTTAGAGCAACACAGGGTTGCTTTTAAAACTGCAACCTTTTCCTTGAGGACCCACATATGTGTCAAGCTGATTGGAAACAAGCCCTCTTTTTCCTTGGGCAGGGATGCTGTTAAAGCTGAAGGCTGCACCTGTTGAATTTCTTCTTGTCAACGGAAGAGTTTTCCGGCCCATTTTTCCTCTAGATGCAGCATGTCAACCTTCTCTCTCCAATTTCAAATTTTAGATCAGGGGTAGTCAACCTTTTTATACCTACCGCCCACTTTTGTATCTCTGTTAGTAGTAAAATTTTCTAACCCCCCACCAGTTCCATAGTAATGGTGATTTATAAAGTAGGGAAATTACTTTACTTTATAAAATTTATAAAGCAGAGTTATAGCAAGTTAAAGCATATAATAATAATTACTTACCAAACACGACGAGTTGTGTTTCTACCAAACAGTTCTACTTTGGTTTCATCTGACCATATGACACTCTCCCAGTCCTCTTCTGGATCATCCAAATGCTCTCTAGCAAACTTCAGACGGGCCCGGACATGTACTGGCTTAAGCAGGGGGACACTTCTGGCACTGCAGGATCTGAGTCCCTGGCAGCGTAGTGTGTTACTGATGGTTGCCTTTGTTACGTTGGTCCCAGCTCTCTGCAGGTCATTCACTAGGTCCCCCTGTGTGGTTCTGGGATTTTTGCTCACCGTTCTTGTGATCATGTTGACCCCACGGGGTGAGATCTTGCATGG